CCAACCCTAGTATGAATGGGTCTTCAATGTCAGGCAAGTATACTTTGTGTCTGTCCTTTATGCCCATGAGCTCTATAGTTACCCACACTGGTCCTCACAACCTTGTATACTGTCCTGTCACACCACAGAGCTTCTGTGTGGCTTCTGGTACTCCTTTGTGTTCTAACACCTTGATACTCATAAGGGTTTGCTGAGATGCAGAATCTATGACAAAGTTGCAATTTTGGCCATCCAGCTTTCCTGTCATGTAAATACTATGTGCGCTTGCCATTTAACACCTAGTGTTCGGGATTTTCCCGATGGGGGTTGGTGGGCGTCCATTAACAACAACCACTACTGGTTTCCCCGAGGCTGACTTATTGATAGTATTCTTCTTACACTGTCTCCTCACATGTCCTTGATTTCCACAGTTCCAACAACCTTTCTGGGTATCAGCCTTTCATGCTGTGGCATCTTCCTTGTGTTGAAGTTGCCAGTATTGAGCTCTCTTGTGCCCAGGTTTGTTACAGTACCAGCAAAGTTCCTCAAACTTCTCTGAAAGCTGCCCTTTTCTGGCCTTGAATCCTAATGACTGTACCAACCTTGGTATCTCTGTGTTGGACTTAATGTAAGGTTCGAATTCAAGAGCTCTGGCCATTGCATCCTGCATAGTAGAGGGGTGTGCTTGCTTTACCTGTATCTTCAGTTGTGGACTGTCCAAGGCATCTACAAACTGATCCCTCAGCAACAGCTTGAGGAGATCGGGTGGTGCAGTTGGGTAGGCCTGGTGTGCCATACTTTTCAAATTCTGTGCCAGCACTTGCAGGCTCTCCCCTTTTGCACGGACTCTAGTCCTAAACCTAGCTCTGTAGACTTTGGACTGATTTGGGGTTCCATACATGACTTCTATAGCAGCTATCAGTGCTCTATAGTTGTGCCTGTTGTTTGCTGACAACTGTCCAAGTATTTTCAGTGGTTGTCCGTTAAGGAGCATTCCAGGTACACTGCTTTCTGCTCCTCTGTCCATCCATTGATTTCTACTAGGAGCTCAAACTGTGCTCTATATGCTTCCCATGGTGCCTTCCCATCGAATTCCTGTGGCTTCCTTCATACTAGATCACCCCTATTGTTGACACTCATGTCTGGAATGTGACTTCTGGCAGGACTGAAGATGTTTGCATTAGGGTTTAGCTGCGGGGTCTGAAAGGAGCATCCTGTTGTCTGGGGCTGATTAAGTCCATGGCTAATATATCCTTCTTGTGTAAAAGACAGTAAATCAACCTTTAATGTATTTGATTCACTTTGAAATTTACTCATTTTTTTTCCATTTGGGTATGCTTGCTTTCTCTTAACTGTTGGAGACTTTCTTCTTGTTTATTTTCTTTCTCCTCCAACTACTGCTGTAGTCTCTCTTCTTGTTCATTTTCTTTCTCCTCCAACCACTGCTGTAGTCTCTCTTGTTTATTTTGCTGTTCGAGCTGCCACTGTTGCAGGTTTTCTTACCACTGCTGTTGTCTCTCTTCTTGTTTCTTTTCATTTTCCTCCAACAATTGCTGTAA